CGCGACCCTCAGATTGTGAGTCGAGCGCCTTATCCACCTGGCCATGCCGGGCCTAGTTTGTATTCTATATTATAGGTTAATTCTTAGCCAAGTCGTAAATCTTCTGAACAAGTGTTGTTAAGTGTTTGAATATTGTCAGTGAATTATACAGTATATCAATTTATCTCCAAATCTAAACAACTATGTGCCATTTTCAGATAACACTGATCTTTCCAAAGGCTGACTAGGTAGTCCGTAGAATAACCATAGATTCGTCAAAATATTTACTGCGAAATAATTCTGTATCCTCTGCCTTCCTGGGTTCGAGAAAAGTAAAAAAGAGGTTGAATATAAATAATGTACAATCACAACAAACAATCTTTATTCAAACAAACACAGAAAATCTACTTTACTTGCCAAAAAATTACAGTACGTTTTACTGGAAAGTCAGGTTTGAAGTCTAACTTACTTGCGATTAGTCGAGATCTTGTTTCGACTCTGTTGAGACCGTGTTAAAGACTGAATAAATCTCACGTTACCTCTTTAAATTGTTAATGCCAGGCTTACTCAAAGAAACTAGCACTAGCAAAGTTAATGATAATTTCCAATGAAACATATAGGAGGCCATAACCTTAACAGATCAACTGACTGCCAGTGAAAATGATAACTATCTAATTTCACAAACTACAGGTGTCCTTCCAGCTATCTTTAATACGGAAAGACAAAAAGTGCTACTCTAGGGGAATGGCACAGAACTATTGGTAGCTAGAGCAACAAAAACTTAATGACTTTTTTGACCAACGTGTTATGTGGAAACAGCAAAATAGCGAAATAAAGAAATGCCTACATTAATACAAGAAGGTCAAACACGCGTGATATGCTTATATATACCACACTTTCCCCTCTCCTTTACTTCAGGCTAGTTCTCAAGCCAACATTAATCTTAACTTTAAAACCATTGAAATTTACAAATGTGTGTTGGTCAAGGAGTGGCGTAACTTTCTCTCGCTTCTGTAAATCATTTAACACAAATCTTTGACAAAAAAAAAGGCAGTTGCATTGAAATACACTTCAACAACGATTTCTGATAAATAAAGGATTTTTCAACAAAACACAGGTATTTTTATAGAGTAATACATAAAAGAACACAAATTAATTCACAGAATTAATTATACTAAAACATTTTAACAATGATAACAAAACATTAATTGAATCTTTTACCAAATACCAAAAATATGAGACATGATTCTATAACAATAAAATCATTTTAAAAATGAAATCAAACCCCGCAGAAAATTAAATCAAATACAACAACAACAAAATATCCCTTCACATAAATAAAGCACCATAGTATTTCAAAATACATTACATGCAACTCTTTAAATGGATATACAATACGGTAATTAATGACCACACATGATGATGCCCTTTCACAACTGATACAATAATCCTAAAAAAAACCTTTAATCAGGTAATTAGCTGGATAACAAAAATTTTCTACTGGAAAAACTCAAGTGATTCCAGGTAATTTGATGGTGCTGATTTCAAAAATGTAGTTAGAATTTGTCCACCTTCTCTAGATTTCGAGTTATTGTAATATTTCAATATTTCATCAGCACTATATGAAATATCATGCAATCAACTCAGTACAATAGATTTATGCTATGAAGTTAAGTTTTCTTGGACAGCTTAATGGGTGAAAGGCATACATTTTTGATAACTTCAAACATTAACTGTATTGTATTGGTGTAAAATTCCAAATATATTGTTATATATACTATTTATTCTCGATATAACTGTAACGAATTGGACCAATTTTGCTTCATTCCTTTCATTACCACGCTCACCTGCTCCATCCAGGAATCACGAAACACTCACGTGTTCAGTTTGCTAAAACATTCGAGAAGTCTCTTGATTGAACATAAAAGGGTGGAGTCAGACGCCTCTCTCTCAGTTGCCTCTCATTCACTCAGTTGGTCACTTCGCGCACAGTCAAAATAAAGTCCGATCTTCTTCTTCACATCATACCCGCGATATAATAAAATTCTGCAAAACTTTGTTTTTTAAATCTTTTAAGCTCTAGTTCTGTAAATGTAAGTTCATTTGTAATTTTTAGAAAATCATTTGAAGTGCTGTCTGCCTCCAGTTCAAGTAAAAATCACCCAAACAGTTCCTACTACATTTATGGAAAATATATTACAATTTCACGAAGGAAAAACATCACACACAAGGTAAAGGTAGCTTACTACCACTATTTTGGGTGTAAAATTGGTGACCAAGAAAAACTCTGGGCTCCACGTGTGTTTTTTACAGTTTGCACATCTAACTTGACACAGTGGCTGAATAATGAGAGCAAGTATGCCATTTGCAGTTCTCATGATATGGCATGAGACCACAGATGATCTAACTGAGTGTTATTTTTGCATGACTAATGTTTCTGCAATGAAACCAGTATCTCATGGGGATGGTCTACTGGTGTCACATCCACCAGTGAATTGTAAACAGAAGAGTTATCCTGTGAAGAAGACAGTGAATCATCTTCATCCTCTTCATCGAGCAATTCTATTCCTGTGGAAACTCAACGTAAACTGCCTCATTTGGTCACACAAGAAGAGCTAAATGATCTGATTTGTGACTTGTCTCTATCAAAGCAGCATGGGGGAACTTCTTGGTTCTCGTTTACAGTAATGGAATTTATTATCTCCAAGCCTTTCAATTTACCAAAGTCACCATCATAGTATTGCTTCTCACTACAGCATGCAAGATACTTTGTGTTTCTGTACAAATGTTGATGCACTAATGAAAGAAGTAGGCACTGAACATCATCCTCAAGAATGGAGACTTTTTGTCGACTCATGTAAAGTTAGTCTGAAAGCTGAGATTTTACACAATGGGAACACTAAGCGTTCGATTTCTGTTGTTCATGCTGTGAACATGAAAGAAACTTGTCAAAGCATGCCAATTATACATTCTAAATGCAATTTTCAATGAATAAATAAAATTATTAAAGAAAAAGTTATTCCACGATATATAATAATATTTTGAATAAATTCATCATAACTCGAAAATTAGAGGTGATCATTAATTTTCCACATGATTTTTAAGACTAAGAACCGTCAAATTACTGAGAAACAGTTGCATTTTTTCTAGTAGTAGAGAAATGTTTTTGTTGCCCAGTGAAATAAGCTCCATAATTTATCATGATATCCTCAACACATACCAAAATCACAGTTATGACTTGTCACAATATAGAATGCAAAATATAAATTTTAATATATCATACTCTATTGCAACACAGATTTTTCACTAGTAACTAACAAACTGCGGTAAATGATTAATAACAATACCAAATAAAATAATTATCCTTTTATATAAATACACTGTCATAGTTAAAAACAAAAAATCAAAACAAATAAGAATAGCAATATTAAACAATAACATATATAGGATCTCCATAAAAAACATAATACAGAATAAGATTTGGTTTTTAAGGAATGTATTACATACTTCCAAAAGCAAACAAAATAGAAGAACCTCCACATAATAGATTCAAATACCTTTTAATAAAGAAAATTCCAAGAATAATAACAGCAACCTTTTAACATAGAAAAACAACACATAATCAGGGATAATTTAACATACATAAAGCACATGAGCATAAATAAAACTGGATGTCAAACACACAAAAAGGATACAATATTTACATCATGTACATTCCACTGTCAGGGCAACCCGAGGTAGGAGCTCTCTCGCCTTATTTTAGACCCGACAGGCATTTTTACCATTGCATCCCCTTCAGTGTAAGCTCCATTAGCCTCTCAAAGTATCGAGTACACAGGCCAAGGAACATAATGCAAAATTAATGGAAATCAACTCTCATTCTAAAAGTAGTCTTAAACCTGCTTTCATAATCCTGTTTGATTTGCCAGTATCTGGACAAGATCTAAAATGTTGAATAAATGGGAAACTTCTAATGCATTCAGATATTCATCTATTGCTGTGTCTACATAAATGATTGCATTCATTTAAAATCAATGGAAAACCTTACTTCTTTTTGACAATCACTGCTGCAGACGACCAAGAACTCTCTGATAGTTGTATCATCCTGTTCTTTAACATTCACTGTATCTTAGTGCTGGCTTCTTTCGCAGAGCTCCAGGGGGGCCTGTGTAGTACCTGTTTAATGGAACATGCATCACCTGTAACTAAGTGTGTTTGTTCACTGTTGGTCTACCTAATTCGCTGGTTCGATGAATAAATTGGCATACTAAATCAACAAATCACTGGTTTAATGTAACTGCATTGGGTCATAATTGTTTGCACAATCTTCAATCAATCATCTCAGATGTGTTGGTAGATTTCTACTAATTCTCAGATATGGTGCAACGGACACAACCCCAGCCTTACTGCTAGCATCGGTAACTTCCACTTCACTTACCATTTTGATGACCATTCAACATTCAAGCAGGAAGCTGGATAATCAATTGCCTGTAATTACAAAATAGTACTGGGATTTCATTCCTCCTTAGACAAATATCTGACCAATCTAATGCTGTTTGTTTTTTTGGACAGAAAACAGCTCATTTCATACATCGTTTCTATAACCATGTTGCACAGTACCATTATACTACACTTCAACCACAGTAAACAATGGAATACAACAAGGATGTCATTGCCAGAAATGAGGTTGGTGATAGCTACCTTCATTTAATGAGTGATGCTGTTTAATTAATCTCCATTCACCAGAAAAAAAGTTGTCATCCACTGGTCATATTTGTGATTTCATTTGCATGATCAACCAATATTCTGCCTGCTCATGTGTCTATCAGGAATTTGATCTATCACCCTTGTACCTTGACAGCACATACCTAGCTCCACCAAGCCCAGAGAGAGCGGGTTTGACCACCAAATCGTTCATTGCAAGTTGATTGTCATCCAGGCCCAACTTGGGCTCTATTAGTGTTTCAGAGCTGTATCAACATTTACTCACCTGGACTTGCTGAGCAATTGGTCAGTCCTGATAACCCTGTACCCTTGCTGCACCATAAAATACTGACAGGTCACTTTATACTGCCCATCATCCCACAGACAAAGCAAATACTTTTCTCCCTTCTTCCAGCTCTATGTTTGAGAAGAGGAATTATTATCATTGGCTGTGGCATATATACAATGCTCCCAATGCTGTCTGTTCATTGCATTTCATTAGATACCAGTGTGGTTGTTCTGCAGTGCTAGGATGTGTGGTTGGTTAATTATTGGTATGGTTTGTGCAATGGAAGTTCCTGGGTATGACAGCCTATCTGAGGTACATCTAGTGCTGCCTCAGACTTTTTCTCCTGTGACGAGTTCAGAGTTACTAGATTGTACCTTGTTGTAGCAGAAACTGCCTTGATTAGGGTGAGAATATCTCTCATGCCCAGGTGGTGTTTCATCACTTCTCCTGGAAATCCCTCAATGAACTTAGCCACCAAGATCTCTCCCCAATCTGCTGAGGGCATTGCTAGGTATACATTCCCATGCAAATGACACAGACATCTCACTTAAGTCTTGAAACTGGCTTGATGGCTTCCTCTTTTTTCTACTGCGTCGAACTATTGGTACAACTTGGCAATGACTGTCTTAGTTACAAAGTTGTGTCTCACTCAAATGCTTGACTATCTAAACTCAAGATCAGACATTGGGTGGCATGTTTTGGAGCCAACTCATTCCAGGCAGTTATCTTCCTGAAATACTTCACGAAATGTCTATGTTTCCTTTTGTTGTACCCTTGAATTTCGTGCAAAGCTACACGTGGGCTATCTGCGCTAGCCGCTTATAATTTAGCAGTGAAAGACGAGAGGGAAAGCAGTTAGCCATTACCACCCATCGTCAACTCTTGGGCTACCAACGAATAGTGGGATTGACCGTCACATTATAACACCCCCTCAGCCGAAAGGGCGAACATGTTTGGTGGGATGGGGATTCGAACCCGCGAACTGCAAATTGCGAGTCAAGCGCCCTAACCACTTGGCCACTTGTGTTGACGTAGATTATTTTAAACATCTGCGAGAATATGGAACTCGAGTATGTTGTTGCTTTGAATTTTTAAACTATTTGTGATTATAACTGTCTATTTGTTCGGCACGCAGGTATCCAATGCATTTTCGTCCTTAATATGTTACTGTAAAAGTTTCAAAATTGTTTGTATATTTTAAGTTTATACTGTTTTTGCATAACACATGGTCAAAATGTTGTCAACAAGCGCTTTTCCTGGGAATTATTAACGAATGTTTGCATTTCCTACAAAATTACTCTTTCATAGCATAGTACTTTCAATATTGGAAATATCAACTACAGAACGAAAAAAAAAAACAGGAAATATTCTCGAAGTAGGCTTCTTTACGTTTATTTTACGCCTTGGCTGGAGACAACTAAAAATTAATATAGGTTTAACAACGCCATCTATTGGGTATATAGTTTGAACAAGGGAAAAAAAAAAGATTAGGGATATCAAACTTAGTATATAGTTTTTGCTTGACTGCTTTATAGTCCGGAGGTCAAACAGGCTTTACTGCTGAATACTAATAAGGTTAAGTGTAAGCTAATATAGTGTGATTATCATAGTATGTCTAGAGAAAAGAATAATTAGGCCATCACTAACACAGTTTGCTACTAGCGGAAATTGCTTTTGTTTATTTGTTGTATTTCGCACAAAGCTACACGAGAGCTATCTACGCTAGTCGTCTCTAATTTTCAAGTGATAAACTGGACAGAAGGCAGATAGTGAACACCATTCACTGCCAACTCTTGTTAGACCGAAGAGTGGTGTTTGGCCTTAACTCTTATAATCCGCAATGCCCCCCCCCCCTCCCTCCCCAGTGGCACAACGGTATATATGCGGACTTACAACGCTATAAACCGGGTTTCGATACCCGTGGTGGGCAGAGCACATATAGCCCATTGTGTAGCTTTGTGCTTAAATTCAAACAAACAAAAAACTTATAATCCACATATAGCCCCCACTGTGTTTTTTGGCGGTAACAGGACATCAGCTCCACATTACAATGGGCTGTGTTCGTGTTAATATCCTTTATTCATAATTTTCTTCATGTGCACTAAATCTATTATTATTGATTGTAGTTTTGCTAATGTTCTTGGTTTTAAAAAGTTATTTAAATAATTTTCTTCGAATTCTTAACCTTGGACCTTTCCTAAACACCAAACTTATTTGTTTGTTTTGTTTATGATAAAGCTGCTAAGGGTATCTGTTTCCAGTTTTGAAATGCGGATCATAGAGAAGAAAACCGGCCTGCAGTACCTACCGCCAACTCTTGGAGAACACTTTTATTTACAACGAATGGTAGGTTTGATAGACTCATTATAACGCACCCATGACATAAAGGGCGAGTATATTTGATATCGGCTTTCGATTCCACAACCCTCAGATTGCAAGTTTAGCGGCTTTTGTACTTGGCCTTAAGACGAAACTTGAAAGGCTGGAGTCTCTTGATATACGCGTGTTAATATGTTTGATGATAAAAAATATGTGAGGACTACTTTTTACAGATTTTTCATTAGTTAGGATGTCAGAACACAGTTATTGTCTCATTGCATCTATACACCTGGAAAAAAGTTAAGCACCCCCAAATATTTTTCAGGATTGCTTATTGAAAATAAGGTTTAATTTTCATGATGTTGAGCAATGTTCATAATTTCAAACATAATTAAAAGGATGTGAGCGTTCAGGTGTGACATTTAAATCAGGCGCGTTTTTTTCCCCACGTGCAACTTGCTCCCTTCTTCACGTCCAATATGCCCTATTTTCTCGTGCATCAAATCCGTATTTAAGTCCCGAATTTCTGAATGCAAAATCATTTTAAGTAAGAATGGCAAGAAGACGGATATCAGAGGCGCAGAGATGGCAAATTATTGGCATGAATTCCGCTGGTATGTCCTACAAGGCGATAGGTTTGGCTATCATTACACAGTGATCAGCCGTTTGGTCAGAAAACATGTTGCCACCCAGAATGTTAAGGACCGTCCTCGATCTGGTCGACCATCTGTAACAACCCAACGTGAAGATAGGAGCCTTGGTAGATTGGTCAGCAGAAATCCGTTTGCAACA